GCAGGGTGGGACTAGGCATGTTAAAAGAGGTGGATAAGGGTGGGAGAGAGTGGAACTGAGACTGGGATGCGGCAGGGGAGTGAGTGAGTCGGCTTTGTCGTCATCATCACTTTGCTTCTCACCAGCTGAGCTTGTTCAAGAGCTGTAGGGCTGAGGCCACAATTTCCCCTTCAGTCTGAGGCCCTCCAAGCTCCAGCGCATCTCCTTCTAGAAGCTTTTCCTAATAACCACTCATCCTATAAATACCATCCTGTTTCCCCACCTGCACCTAAAGAGACTCCTCTTGGAACTCCACTTGCTCTTCCCACTGCCACTTCCACCACCCCAGGGTGTAGAAACATATACTGAACTTATCCCCACCAGGGTGGTCTTAAGTTACCCCCTCTTAGGGGAATTTAACAGAGGCTCTGGAAATCTAAAATGCCCTCTTGACTCCCAAAAGCAACACCTGACACCCCCACAGTAGGCACTTGTTTGCTGAATTGAAGACCCAAAAGAATGAAGTTATAATGGTAGTTTTAATGGTAGAATTTTGATTAAATACTTGCATGGATCTGGCACCCCAGCTGGGTCCCCCACATTTAGAAAGCAGAGGCTGACTTCTCCATGGGTCCAGCCTATGGCCCAACCTGTCTTCTTTCGTAGAGGAGGGCCACACCAGCCAGGCTGCTGCTACCTTGATGCTGTGTCCAGAGAGACCTGCTCTCTTCTTCCTCCCAACTACCCCACTTTGCTTCCCTTCCCCTCCCACTCCACCTCCTGCTCAGGATTGTGTAATAGGAAATTCCCAACTGAGCTCTCTGAGGAGGGGAAAGGGGGCTAGGGAGGGGAAAACAGCGCAAGGATACAAAATACAGAGGCACAACCTCTTCCTGTTCTTCAGCCTGGGAACTCCCAGGGACAAGGGCCTCCCCCTCTTCCTTCCCATTCCTCTCCCAACCTCACCCCCAGGCAAACTTAGGACTGGCCACATAAAGGCCAAGAATTCTCCCCTCCCTTAACAGGTGAAGGGGGTCAAAAGGTACAAACTTCCAGTTATAAAATGAGTAAGACACCCTAGCTGGTTTGGCTCAGTGGTTAAAGCATTGGCCCATGGACTGAAGGGTCCCGGGTTCGATTCCAGCCAAGGACACGTACCTCAGTTGCAGGCTCAATCCCCAACCCTAACCCAGTTGGTGCCCATGCAGGAGGCAACCAATCTGTGTGTCTCTTTCACATCGATATTTCTCTCTCTCTCTCCCTCTCTCTCCCACTGTCTCTGAAAAGCAGTAGAAAAAATATTCTCAGGTGAGGATTAAAAAAAAGAATAAGACATAGGGATGTAAAGTACAGCCTGGTGACTATAGTTAATAATACTGTATTGAATATTTGAAAGTAGCTAGGAGAGTGGATCTTGAGTGTTCTCAATACAAGAAAAAAGGATTTTTGGAACTATGTATGGATTTATTGTAGTAATGTAATATTCACAATTACTGAATCATTATGTTGTATACCTGCAACTAATACAATGTTATTTCAATTATAGCTCAATTTAAAAAAAAAAAAAAAGGATGTCAGCCTCTGTTTTCCCCTATCGTCTATTAAAATGGTGAAATACATTGGGGGGGGGGGGAAAATTCCCCC